ACAGAACTGAGTCGGGGTCAGTGTGTCAGGTCAGTATGCAACCTTCAACCGACGGTTACGGTCACGCGTGTAGAGGTAATCGCGTAGACGAGAATCCCTCAACAAGCACTAGAGACGTGGCTAGAGAAGTGCAAGTATCAAAAACTAAAGTGTGGCAAACGCTGCGTGAAGAGGGGCTGTATCCGTTTCACGTCCAACGTGTACAAGCCCTTCAACCTGACGATTTTCCAGCAAGAGTGCGGTTGTTGCATCAACATGACAATAATCCGGACTTTTTGAAGTGCATATTGGTGACAGACGAATCTACGTTCACGCGTAATGGGGTGAATAACTTTCGCAACACTCATGTTTGGTCAGTATAAAATCCGCACGCTGTCCGTCGGGCACATTTTCAACAAACATTTTCGGTGAATGTTTGGGCTCGCATGGTGAACGGTATGCTCATTGGACCATTTATTCTCCCAAATCGAATGGACGGGATGCAATACCTAGACTTTTTACGCAACATTTTGCCTTCCTTGTTAGAAGATGTGCCATTAAGTGTAAGACAATCAATGTGGTTTCTGCGTCTGCTCGGTAGCGCATCAGCTGATTTCATTATCTGTTGGAGCGGTATGATTTCGGGCAGAGACGTACTTAGCCCTTCTCGTCAACTGGAGAGTGAGTACTTTTTCCTTTATTTTTTTTTTACTTGGTCGTCCTCGTTTCACTACACATTACCTTTGTTATTTCAAGGGTAGTTGTTTCTGAAAAGGAAAACCCCAAATTTGCGGACACCCTGTATATATATAAAAAAACGAATGTCGAAATGCAGTTAATACACGATGCAAAGTGCTCTAGTTATACAGGGTAGGTATTAATTAAGTATGTGAAATAAATTTAGAAACGATTCTTTGAGAAATGAGATGAAAAGTTCATATGAACTCAACTTCTTCGCTCTCAAGATACAGGCTGTTAAAATTAGAAAAAAATGGTTCTTCGTAAATATCGTAACTCCCTTTTACCTAATATTCTTCTATTTATAACATTAATGAGCTAATTTATAAATAAAAATATACGCGACTGATTTTTGTGCATTTTTTATTATGTTCTTTGGAATAAGCAAATAGAAATAGAAAAAAGTCTCTTGATTTTTTTTTGTATCTTGCTTAGTTTTAGAGAGAAAAAACAACTTAATTGTATAACCCTGGACCACACAAAGAATGTGGAGAAAATTTTCTTTTGAAAATTAGTATAATTCATTAGTTTAGATGTTGATGTAATGTAATTTAATTTAGTCTTCATTTGTTGTTACATAATTAGTAATAAAAAAATTATAAAAATAATAAACTTTTCACCATTTTCTTTGTGTGCAAATGGATATTTTTTTCTCGAAAACTAAGAAAGATACCAAAAAGTTCAAGAGACCAAAAAGTTTTGTTTTTTTTTTAATTGGTTAATCCAAAGAACATAACAAGAATTGCACAAACATCAGTGGCGTGTATTTTTCACTGGACTTAATAAAGTGAATCATGAATGTAAATACCACAAAATTACAACAAGATTAGGCAAAAGATATTTAAGAAATTTACGAAAATATTTTTTTTTCAATTTTAAGAGCCTGTATCTTGAGAATGAATCTGCGGACGTTTATATAAGCTTTTTGTGTTAAAATTACTCGAAAAATCATCTGTATCTATGGTACATACCTACTTAATTAACACCCCCTGTATAGCTCATGTCAAATTCCATCAGGCCGTTATGGCTGTAGCCCGTGAAATAGATATTCGAAAGTTATTTCCTGATATAAAAAGTAGCCTATGTGCTATTGCAGTCTACAGTATATTCAGATAAGAGATAGACCGGACATAAACAAGACCACGTGATCATCGAACGCTGTAACATTCGGCAGGGACGTATTAAGAGTCACGCAGTACATATTTTAGATAGAAGATGCTGCTTTACGTAACTTTGTAGTAAATTAGCACAATTCGATGTGTATACGATTGGTGATGGATATAGGATCATGTGGGGGTGGGGTAAGAAATATATAATGATGTAAATATACATAAGGGTTTCAAAATTTTCGCTTCAATTTCCAGCTTCGGATGCCGCCTGATGTTTGGTGAAATACAGTCGAATATAATCTCAAAATGGCGTTTAAATTAGCCTAAATTAAAAATAATCGTATATCTCTTAAAATTGCTTTTAGAATATTGATTAGTATATTTTTTGATTTCTAGGTAAATATGTAACCAAACTAAAACGTTCAAAACGTAAAAAAATGTGCATGGTTGAACATTGTCAGAAAGTAGATTCTTGAATAGGTTTTGCCAAAATGGGTTCAAAAATGTCAATAATTAATTAAAAAACACAGCAGCTTTATAATTACTTATAACTTACCGAATTTGATGAACGACATCTTTTATTGGAAGGATGAGCTTGATGAGCTTTCATCATCGCTACTGCCTGAAGCACCAACGTCAATAATGAATGGCTCGACTTGTTCCTCTAAAATATTGTCCAGTTCCCACATTCTCTTTTCAACTTTGTCTTTCACGTGCTTAATACAGTTTTCCCATTTTTGCGCTGTTATTAATTCTAGTGCTTCTTTGAAAAGTCCTTTGAGGTCACAAAATTTAAAAGTTGTATTGTGCTTAGCTATATAATTTTTAACCTCTGCCCATATGAGCTCAATGGGATTGAGCTCGAAATGGTATATAGGTAAACGGAGCACAGTTTTATTTTGACTTGCTGCCATTTCGTCAATGGCGTATTTTTGATATTCCGCCTTGTGATCCTTGACAATTCTTAATAATTGTACTTTCAGCATTGCTTCTTCAAAGTTGATATTTTTCGAGCGGAGCCAATTTTGAACATCAACTTTCCTTGAAGCCGTTGTTGGGACCTTCTCCATTCTTCGAGAATGATAAGGCGCATTATCCAACACAATTACTGCGTTTTCCTCTAAGTTCGGTAATTTTTTTGCAAACCACTGTTCAAACGATTCGCCATTCATTTCCTCGTGGTAATCTCCAGTTTTCTTAGACTCAAAGCACCACAGACCGTCAACAACAAATCCATCCTCACTGCCAATATGGCAGATAATGAGCCTTTTCCCTTTACCTGGAAATCGAAGTACTAACTGGTGTAGATTTTTTTCAATAAGCGAACCTTTTTCAAATGTTTTCATCACATTCAGCGAAAAAACATTGAGACATGAGTATCAGATTGCTATAATTGGGATTATTTAGTCATATTGAAAGAAAGAATATTGAACGTCGTATGATTACTCAGCGCTTCACAATTTAATTTAAAGTTATAAACCTTTAAAAAATGAATGATCAGGAACCTGAAATACGCGCAAATATTAATATTAACAAATTATAACTTTATAAAGCTTAAAGTATGAATTAAAATGATTAGAAATATTAGGAACGGTACACAATATAAAACTTAGTAACTTTTTTTAAGTTTATAATATTCGACATATTTTAAGATTTGCGAATTGACCAATGAGGGCTCCTGTTTTACGTCGAGACGGCGGCGTTAGCGTGAAAATCACCCGAACCTTTTGTTTACATCCGGTCTATCTCTTATCTGAATATACTGTACAATCTATCTCTGTACCCAAAGAACTACGCCGTATTCCTATAGAAATCGGACTTCCGCTAAATTGGATGAATTTCTGATATGTTTCATATATCACCGTAAGGAACAAATGTCTTAATGGGCACAATCTCCTAAACCCTAAGGGTTGTGAGATAAAAATGGTTGAAGTTGAATTATCTCAGATTATACAGTACATGGCACATTCACCATTTTTGAGGTCGAGTACACCGTCGACCAGAGAACGGGAAAACGATACAAAAACGAGGATAAGTAACTTTATATCAATTTTTACGACACAAAATATCCAAAATCTGACATTGGAATATTTCCGCGAAAAAAATTGTGAGATTTTACAAAATGCCAAGATATTTGCAACGAAATCATACTAGCATTGATTATAAGATATGAAGATTTCATACCATATGCTGTATTTAAACGTTCACACACAGTTCCCACCGTAACAGCCATGCCAAGCAGCATATGGTCATGAGATAATCAAAAATCTAAGAATGTTTTGCTCAAAATTGAATCGGAACATAAATCCGCTACACCGGAAAACTGATATAAGTTGTTGATGGTACTCTCGTCTCGTGAATGTGCATATTGTCACTTATCATGATCGCAGAAATATTCCACGTTCGGGTAATACTCGTCGTCAAAAAATGATGAAAGTGCGATGTGCTTTATAATCTGAGATAATTCAACCATTTTGATCTCATAACTCTCAAGGTTTAGGAGGTTGTGCCTATTCAGACATTTGTTCAGGCAGGTGAAACATGCAACATACCAGAAGTTCGACCAATTTGACGAATGTCCGATTTCCATAAGGAAATGGCGTGGTTCTTTCATCCAAATTCGTTCAGCCAAGTGATTGGGTATCAAACATACACACTTTCTCATTTATAATGTTAATAGGGATTAGTAGGGATTGATTTTTTTCGTGACGTCATGTGCAAGCGTACAAAGATGGATCCCTAAAATCAGAAGCCGACTCTGCTTCTTCCAGTTCTCTCTACCAACAAAGTGGCGAAAAAGCTGTAATTTAATGGTAAAAAGGGTGTGAGAACAAACTGTTTTTCCTTCTCGGGAGAGAGAATTTTACGAGGCGGTGACGGTGTCGCGGAGCTTCTAATTAAAACACTCCAAGTGTTGGATTTGCAGATTTTACTTTTAATTTACTGAGGAGAGATTTTCACTCTACGTTAGTTCCGAGTTGTGGGATCGTGCTCTGTAAAAATTTAATTGCTCTAAAACAAGTTCATTACTTTAGATAATGAATTTTTGTTACGGTAAGAATTGAAGTTATGAAGGTGCAAAAAATGAAAAATATTCCTCTGTATTCGCGGTCACCATAAGAATTAAACTTTCGCTCTGTTTAACAATAAAGACATATTTTTATAATAACTCACCTCATTCCCTCCGTGCTCTTGTTCCGATAATTTTTGAAAAGCTGCGGCGTTCCGAGCATGGCTTCTGTGAAAACGGCCAGAAAACCGACCACCTCCACGAAATAGATGTACTCGATGAAAATGTACATCAGGAGAGAAGCACATATCGTGAACACCAACATGCAGTCTACGTACGATTGGAAGTCTGACCAGTTCCAGAAGAACTTCGCGTCGAAGTCTATAGACAAAAAAAATAAGCATCACATAGTATACGTGTATGTGACATGTACAGGGTGCTTCATTTGGGAGTATGGATAAAGGTCAGTGTGGTGTTATAAAATTATATAAGGTGGTCCCCGGGAGCGGGAAGTTTTAAATACTTTATGATTGTAAAGGCATTGAAATGAAATAAAATACAGTATAACATTAACAAACTATTATCTATGTATCGAAGAAAGAGACTAAAACAAAACAGTGATCATCGTGTGATTATTTCGTGATCAGTACACTGATATAGTTCAAGAAAGAGGGAGCATAGCTGTTATTGGGCAGAATATTTCGAGCCCTTACACAAAACCAATGACAAACCAGAGGGTGGAGTGGGAGACGATACGACCGCGCATGCAGGCTGTCCCGGTGGTTGGCCGTACAGTACAGGGTTGGCATCAGATTTATACTGGTATTACAGTGTGATTATTAGATTTGTCAGTTTCATATCGTAGAACTCAAAATGTCTGATACGGATACACCTGATGAAGTTGTTGCTATCAGTTGCACTCCGCCTAAAACAAGAGCTAAAAGGCTTCATTTTAGCGTTAGCAAAAAACAGATAATTACACTGGACAACAAATTTTAGTTTTTTAATTGTATCTTATGGGAAAAGTGCACTTCTTTGTTAATTTTGGGGCGCTGAATCCAAAAATGACAATGAAATAAAAAAATTAGTTGCGGTTTAGAAAAAAAACTTTTTATTTTTAAGGATATATTAAAAAAAGTAACAAGATTCATATACTTATAAGAATCACTATATGCGCTGTCTTTTTGCTGTTCTTTTATGGATCGTTTCTGGAGCATCTCTACCAAGAGTCCAACAGTAGTCTGCAAGCATGGAAGATTTCCACTTTCCCTGGTACCTTTTTTTAATTGTTGAAATATCCTGATGAAAACGTTCGCCGTGCTCATCACTTACAGCCCCGCAATTGTCAGGAAAAAAGTCCACGTGTGAGTGTAGGAAATGTATCTTAAGAGACATATTACAGCCCATGTTTTGATACGATGACAGCATATTTTTGACAAGGGTTTTATAGTTGTCAGCTTTTCTATTTCCCAAGAAATTAGTGACCACCAGAAGGAAATCATTCCAAGCAGTTTTTTCAATACCTGTTAAAGTGTTTTCAAACTGTGTATCTTTCAAAATATTTCGAATCTGTGGCCCAACAAAAATATCTTCTTTAACCTTTGCCTCACTTAGTCTTGGAAATTTCTGTCGCAGGTATTGAAAAGCTGACCCATCTCTATCTAATGCCTTGACCAAGTTTTTCATTAGGCCCAACTTGATATGCAGTGGTGGTAATACAATTTTTTTCGAATCTACTAATGGCATATGCTGTACATTTTTTTGACCTGGCTCTAGGAATTGACGAACAGGCCAGTTTTGCCTGGTGTAATGAAGTGCCTTTGCCTCACTTAGTCTTGGGAATTTCTGACGCAGGTATTGAAAAGCTGACCCATCTCTATCTAGTGCCTTGACAAAGTTTTTCATTAGGCCCAACTTGATGTGCAGTGGTGGTAATAAAATTTTTTTCGAATCTACTAATGGCATATGCTGTACATTTTTTTGACCTGGCTCTAGGAATTGACGAACAGGCCAGTTTTCTCTGGTGTAATGAAGTGCCTTTGCCCGACTGTCCCATTCACACAAAAAACAGCAAAACTTTGTGTAGCCTAGCTGAAGCCCAAGTAAAAGTGCAACAACTCTCATATCGCCACAAATATGCCATTGGTGCTCATCGTATTTTATGCATGTCAATAGGTACTTCATATTGTCATATGATTCTTTCATGTGAACTGCATATCCTACAGGAAGAGATGGCAAAATATTTCCAATATGCAATAACACTGCCTTTAAACTCAATGTTGAACTGTCTCCATTCTTCTGGGTTATATTTTATATTTAAAGCCGCCAGTAAACCGTTAATGTTACTGCAGAAAACCAAGTTATTCTCCATATTGAAAAATGGTTCTAAGTCTTTGTGGCGTTTACGAAAAACACATACCGAAACATCGTCTAACATGTTCCACTGCTGCAGTCTTGATCCAAGTAACTCTGCCTTACATTTTGGAAGTTCTAAATCTCTTACAAGATCATTTAATTCTGACTGTGTTATTTTGTGCGGTTGGTGGCATGACGTGCTCGGTATAAAATCAGGATCTCTTGACGTTGATGGCATGTCTTCTTCCTGACGAATCACTCGCCATGATCTGATTCGTTTTCTGATTCGCAAGTGTAGGATTCTTGGGGTTTTGGAATAGGATTTTTGTCACTGTGAGGCACAGGTCTCATCGCAGATGGTATGTTTGGGTAGTTAATAACCGATTTATTTTCCTTGGACATACCTGTGGCTTGTCCAACACAAGGTACCATGCAAAAGTAACAATCATTAATATGATTTGTAGGCTCTCTCCAAACCATTGGGACAGCAAAGCGCATAGACCGTTTTTTGCCATTTAACCAGCTCCTCAGACTTGAAGCACATGTATTACAGCAGATGTGGGGTGCCCACTGTTTGTCTTGATCACCTAGTTTACAACCGAAATAAAGCTGATATGCCTTTGTTATTAGTGAAGTAATAGACCGTCTCTGAGACGCAAAAGTCACATCACCACACACGTAACAAAACTGATCTAGATTGTTTACACACTTTCGAGACATCTTGCATGAACTGTCAGCCAACTGAGGAAAAAATGCCTAATATAAAACAATATAATGTACACGTATGTATAACGTAACACAATCATGCCGATTACATCATCTTTCCTTGCCGAAAATAAAAATGTAGCACGTGCATTCTTGTGAATTACAGTATATTAACACTGTCACAGCAGGAACACATATAATTACCGTATCTCTAAAACTTGAACTAATATTGAAAAAATAAGTTTCATTCCGGTTTTAGCACATTAAAAATAGTAATATTTTGTTGATTTTATTTAGGATATTTTTTGGCTGTTGATCAGTGATTATTTATTATGTGGAAATTAGCTCAAAAATTCGTTTATCATATCGATATAACGCACAGAGTTAATGGAAACGGCATTCTCATTCCCATCTTCGAAAAAGTAAGGCCCTATAATGCCCACTGAAGACATCGCACGCCATACCGTTCGTATAGCCCGAAAAAGGGAAGTATGCCTCGTCAGACATCCACAAATTGTGTATATCGATTTCGTTCTCAAGCAAAACGTAAACGAGCCAGGATGTCTGTTGGTTTCAGTGCTTGGACAATTTTAATTATGTATGATGAAGATTGAAATCTTTATGCAAAGTTCAAAGTAAAGATGTCTTACAAATTCTTAACGCTTGGGCTCATCTTCGGGTTGGACCGTGTTCCACAGATATTCTTACACGATCGATATTTTCAAGCGTTCATACACTTTTCTTTGGTCCTTTATGTTTGACGTTGACAGCTAAACCTGTTTCTTCAAATTTACGAACCAATTTGGAAATAAAGTCGGAAATGTCGCTGAGCGGCAACCACACAGTTATTTTTTTATAGTACGATTTAATCACAAATGCACGTTGCTCACCAGACCACTGCTCCATGATCACTGAATGGCATACAGTGACAGATAATTTCAAAAAACAATCCATAGCCAACTATGCATAGTTACGGAATTATCAAAACTTCCCGCTCCCGGGGACCACCTTGTAAAACTTAAAATTATTTGACCATAACTGTCTGCTCAAATAACGAAAGTGGATCGCTAGAATGAAATTTCTATACTCTTTCCATATATGTAAATGAAATTCAGAAATATAAATATACAGGGTAAAACAGTTTTGTTAAATTCCAACCAGTCCGAATTTCTGAGTTCCTATTCATATCACAGTCGATATCATAACAGAAGCTGAGTACGCGAACCAAGTTTGAAAACATGAAGGGAATTTGAAAATTTAAGACCTTTTAAGACCTTAGCATATTATTTTAAAATGTAAATATGTATTTTTTTAAATAGATTACCCTATATTTTATTGTATACTTGGATAGGTCTTCTAAAAACAAGAAGTTTGGTATCATATAATCATATACAGTTTCGTTTATGAATTGTTTAGATGTTTATTGGAATGCCTGAAAAAATACCCAAATTTGACGGCTCGCAGCTCCACCATTTTTTAAAATATTTAGATAAATTTTAGTTCACAAAAATTTTATCAAAATAAACTTTAAGCTGATCGGAAAGAAATGCTAAATTCTATTTATACATGGTATCTCAAAACGCCAAATGTATCTTGTCTTATAAATTTTGTATATTTATTTCTACATCATTAAATAGCTTTTTTGGGACCTTCTTTGAAATAAGGTGTATACCTCTTTTTTCAAACAGTTTTCTAGTCACTGTTATTAACTCCAATAAAAAAATGTATTCCACGTTTAGTAATCAAAATCAGATCTTCAGAAGACTCATTTTTAACCCAAGACATTCATTATGAATTTGTTGTAATTCATTCCCAGATGCTGGATCTAGGATCCGGTATTTTTTTCACAATTACGTTGTTTCAAATTGGGTTACACACCTATTGTGTTTATAGAACCATATATCACTGACGTTTAATAAAACCTGGTGCATATCAGAACCGTATTTAGACCGCTGGCGCCCTACAAGTTGCATAGGGGAAGACTGACCGATCAATTGGCCAGCGAAATCTCCCGATCTGACGCCTCTCGACTTTTTTCTCTCGAGCCATATAAAAGGAGAGATGACAAACCCTTTTTGACGTCAAAGATAATTAAAACAGGGGTCTGGCCTCATGTGCTTTGCACCAATCGAACAATCTATCAATGATTGATGCCTTAGGCTGCGATTTGATTGCATATTCAATACAAGATGTATTCGGTTTTTCTTGAAATTAACAGCAATAACTCAAAAACGCTTGGAAATAAGTTGTATCACTCTTATATCAAAAAAAGTTCCCCAAAAAAACAATTTAACGTTGTAGAAATATTCCATTTGTAATTT